GATTTCAAAATAGAAACGACAACGAAGGTAAAGCCAGTGGGTGTTCCTTCCAGTCAAAGACTGATGCGAAATCTAGTGACCAGTGCGGTATACAGAGTAATTTTCGGCCTTCGAAACTATTCGAAACATCATCAGAGAAGAAGGAATTACTTCAGCATATCGCTTACAAGGTACAAATGCAGTACTCGATGAAAGTTAAACATTCACTAGTGCCAATTTTGGTAAACAGCGATTATAAAGAAGCATTTATGAAAGGCATTTATATGGAGCGGAGATGGAAGAAGGAAAATGGTGTGGAAATTCCAGTTATATGGCAGGGTGTTCCAGGACTGGGATTCGTTCTTCTTTGCAGTAAATCAGAAAACTACGTACAAGCTCATAACGTTCTGGACGTGATCATTCACCAGTTGGAAAAACATCTGCAGTTCATAACGAATCCGGTGATGGCGCTGACAATCATTGAGACTGTGGCGCTAATTGTGAACCAATTTCTTCCTGGTGGGAAGTTACTGTTTATGAACAGCAGACTTGTTAGGCAATTCGAAAAACAGATCGAGGTTCATCTGTTCTCAAAATAAATCGATGTTTTACGTTTCGTTTGACCACAAAGATAAAATTACACTGTGTATTTGTTAGTGATGGCAGTATCTTATAAGTATAATTATTTTATATGTGTTTTAGTGTAGTCCTTTTAAGCTTTTAGAAGATGTAAATTATGTTTTATCATTATATTAGCCTCCAGGTTCGAAAACCTTCTCAAACATCATGTACCTATGTTATTTTATAGCTGTTATTGTTTTAATAGAATTTGCCAGAAATATATTTGTGTACATACTGAAGTGATTTAATAAAAATGGTGTTCATTCAAGAACTCTGGAGATACGAGCTATGGTCCACTCATAAATATTTTATCTCCCAGTCTCTATTTTCAAACAAATAAGAAAGAAATTATTGGGCTTATGAAAGTTTCATTTGTTGACGAGAGACAAGAAATCTTTGTTATTCACAGAATGTATATTAATAAAAGAAAGTAATTGTAATAAAAATATAAATAATTATCTTCGGTGTTAATATAAATGACAGGTAATGGGCTGATGAATTAAAATAAGAATATGAAGTATTTTTATATGAGTATTAGTTTAAAATAGCATAAAATTAGGAAAGTATCCTGTGACTTTAAATATTATAACTACCATGAAATTAATAAATACAGTAAAGATGTCGTAAGTTCAAACGTAAATACGTCTATACGGAAAGGAAGTTTATATATTGTATTTATTCTAAATATTTCTTTTATACATGCTTTACATTTGAGATAAGTTTGATTAAGACATTGCTTATTTAACTTGAATTAGTTACGCTTAAGATGGGTCTGTGGTAGCTGAATGTAATGTAAAGTAATGTAATGTTTTATAGGTAACAATAATGCCGAGTAAATAATTGATGTTTCCTAGGGAACATAACAATGCAGTTACATTGGCCCTAAAATATAGACGTATTTACGTCAAAAAGACTGCACATATACAAAACAAAACCATAAAACCAATCGGTATATCTAAGATTTTTAGCACGTTGCATAGCTATTAAGCCAGATTTGCAATTTTAATGTTGCAGGTGACTAGTTGCCTCGATAACTCACGTTACGAGATTATCTTTACGCCGTCTAGAGTTCTTCAGCTGGTCTATAATTTTCTTTCCATATACGAAAACTGAAGGTTCATAAACGCCTACCACTATGCCCTGTTCCTAACCATTTCAATTCAGTTAAAATATTTATCATCCTTCCCAAGCATTCATTTCAATATTATTCTCCCATAACCGTATCAGTCTTCAAAGTGGCCATATTCCAAGAGGTTTCCCACCAAAATTCAGTGTGCAATTTCTGTCTCATTTGATAGAATATCCAGCCAATCACGTATACAGTGCGTCCACTGACAAAGTTGAACGTAACTGTCGCTTCCCGGCTACCGCCAAGTACTACAAGGTTTTCCCGATACGAGTGAAGTATCGCACCATGAAGGAATAAAATCAACTTTGTCGGTGGACGAACTATAGTGGGCTTTAAATGATTAACTGTAAAATCTTTAGCCAAGTCCTAGACAATGGGCAAAGCTTAACCGTGTCTTTGCACGTGAGTAACATAAATACCAAGGCTAAATATTTGTGACGATGTTTAAGAAATCTTTCGTTTCAGTGACCTGCACTTCTATCTCTCAGAATTTGACCTTTGGACGGCCCGTTCCGTTACGGCAGCCTGTGGTAAGAGGATCATCACACTCTGTAGCACGTGACCGCCCTCTTACAAGCCTTGATCTGAAGGCCAGCATCCCTCTGGACTCACGTTTCAAGACTCCGGAATGCCATTGTTTCACGACCTCACTCGCATGGTACGATCTACTGTGCTTTGTCAGATCTGCTCATTACGTCAACAGTTTACCCTCGTTTTATCAACTGGTGAAATTAAATTGCTGAAATGAGATGCTGAAAGTTTCAAAATTTGCCGGAAGTGGTCGTGGCATATTTCAAGATAATGTCTAGTGAAGACGATTAGGGTTGACTACCCCTCTCGAGATGAAAGCATGAGCTCTGATGGGGGGTGCACGAAATATTAGGCCAAGAAACAAATTAATCCAGAAAAACTTTCAAAATGAGAGTGGGGGACAATTGGGGAGTACACAGAATTGAACAAATACGTACAAATTTTTGAATGAAGAGGCTTGAGGAAAGGGACCACTTGCTGGAAATAGGCAAAGATGGAAAGATAACATTAAGCAAATCGTGTGGGAAGGTGTGGACTAAATTCACGTGGCTCGTATTAGGTATCAGTGGCGGGGTTTTAGATGTATATATATATATATATATATATAAAAAAAGTCTCACTCTGTGGATCCAGTCCGCCTGGTTCACCATCTTGCGACATAATTTTTTTTTTAAATCTGACAAGATTATAGTGTATCAAATCTAAAAGTTCTTGACGATAGTGATGAGTCATTTGAATAAAAATTTTCTTGGATATAGATTATAGGTTATACATATATTCATCGTTTTTCTCGAGAAAAACGATGAATAGCGCGAATTATTTATATCAATTTTAATTTTAAACATCAATATTAAAATGTTTTGTGTATAGACTTGAAGAATAAATATATGTATCAATTGAAAACACAAACATGACGCATCTAAACTATAAAATTATAGGTTATCTCTGACGCTTAAGTAATCACCACGTCATGCAGGCGAATGGGGGAGTGAAAGTATAGCTCCACGCATTCTTAAAACTCTGAGATGAGTGGTTAGCTTCACGTCTCAGTCGCTTTGTCCCCGAATAAAGAATTCTGGTGCCCACTGAGCAGGAGACTGGGTGGGACCCCTTCGTCTTATTACGCCGAGAAAAATCCTCGCCGGTAATCAAACCCTGGTCGTCGATACAGCAGCGTAGTCATTGTACTGTCTGAGGTGATCCCGACTCTGGCACCTGCATTCCTTGGCAAAACTGCAGGAGGATGTTTTGAAAGTGAACCAATCCAAGTCCCTGAACAACTCTGTTGTCATTCACTGACCTGGAAAGCGGTAGGTGGATGCGCGTTAACCGAGGGCGTACCCGCCTTAGTCACGGCGGAGATGTGCCAAGATTCCTCTGCCTTCGGTAAGAACTGTTCGACGTTCAGACCAAACTGTGCTCCGAGAAACACGAAGGCACCTCGGTTTTCAGTATTATCATCACAACAGAAGCCGTTTCGTGCTATAAAATGCATGTATCGCGTATCAGATGACAAATGCGTGCAGAGGTTCGAAAGCCTGAACGGAAGAGACCACTAGAAGACCTAGGCGTAGGATAATATTAAAATGAATCTAAACGGAATCGCGTAGGAGGGAGTGGATTGGATTCATATGGCATAGGGTCCAATGACGAGCTTTTTTTTTCGCGGTGATGAAACTTCCAGCGAGGAATTTCTTGATTAGCTCAATGACTATGATTTATTAAAAATAAATCCTTCATTCCAAAGAGTTAATCATGAGAACACATATTTATTTTCAGGTCAACAAAAGTACAGACATAGATAAATTGCTCCTGATTTTGAGTTTTATTGTGGAATAGCAGTAGTATTTTACGGGGAGCAACGATTTCAGATTTGAATAGAGTCTCGGAAACTCTCGTTCTGTAAATTCGTGACAAAAATTCATCAACTCATTTTCAGACGTAATTTCGATTGGGCGAAATTTTTTTTTTTTTATAAAGAGGCAAGGGGGTCACGATACTGCCCCAATATCTTTGCCTAAAGACCACCATAGGCCAAACATCGAGTTACCTAGTTTCAGAGATAGAGTACAGATTAAAATCCTCCAATAAGAGACCTCTTCTTTGTAGTATTTCGTGAGAATTCATCTAGCGGCAGATATCTGTGTCAGGTGGAGGATAGAAATAACAAATGAGGCGAGATTGCGTGATGTTCGGGGGTGGCGTGGTTGCTTGGCAACCAAATTCAGTCACGATGCGATGGCGACCACCAAATCTTTATGTGAGAATCAGCATTCTAGGAACAGAAAGCAACCCTAAACACAAAAAGCCGTGACGTAACCAATACATGAATGAGGGCGACTGCTTATATTTATTTTATGTGGTAACGTCTCGTATAATTCATATGGTCACGAAAATCGAAGTCAGACAAGAAAGTATCTTAGTCACATAAAAGACGTGATAATCCTCACTCTGTAACTTGTGACGATAAGAAAGTACTCGTCCGACACATCCTTTGGCACCGTGAATCTTGAAACCAGACGTTTGGCGATCTAAATTGAATTATTAATCCTTTAAAACACAGTGGTAACTATAAGTTCCACCTTCTTAAATTATTAATAACTAAATTTTGAAATCTATAACTTTCGTATAATTCTCACTGTAAACAGCGATTATTTCCTTAAACAGTTTCAACCAGTAGATCTTTGTAATGGTGAAGTGTGGAGTTTTCTTCGCGGTACGGACTGAATACTTAAATGTTATTCAGATGAGCTTCGGGCTTCTGAGGGTTAATTCAAGTACTTCGATGTACAGATACAATATCTCGATGGTGACGCGGAGAAAGTTTGTATTTCCGTACATGAAATTGTCGGGAAGATTACGCCGTCATGGTTCCTAATTTCCGACCAGTTTATGAAACTTCAATTCACTTTTAACAAAGTCGAAAGCTGCTGAGCCTTTGACCTCATATCCTCTCACATTCTCCTCACAGGATGCCATCCTCGCGGTGATTGATGCGTTTTCATCTTATGGAATGTTGAACTCGAAGGCAGTTCGTTCGGGTTCCATGGAGGGGGGAGGGGGGAGGGGGGAGAGAGAAGAAAGGATTAGACATTTCATTCGTAAAGTCTGGAGACAAGAGAGTATTTGAGAAACCGAGACGTCGATGGGAGGACAATATTAAAACGAATCTTAAGTAAATCGTGGGGGAAAGGCGTGAATTGGATTCATCTGGCTCAGGACAGCAAATGGCAAGATTTCCGTAGAATCCAGAGAATTTCTTGACTAGCTGAGTGACAATCAGCTTCTATGCGTTCTTTTTTAAAGACATTTTGTTATTTTGGAGCCACATACATTGATTACTTTTACAGATGTTATATTTACTATACAAAAGTGAGATTTTTACATCCAACAGGATTCGTATAATGTCTTTGGGCAACTATTTTATCATCCTTATAAAACACTTTCAAGCCGAAGAGAGAGTTCGGAAGGATAACAAGAGAGCATAAACAGAGAAAATTGGTGGGGCAGAAGTTGGCGGCACTTTGGGGGCCGGGGGGTGGGGTGGGGGTGAGAAAGCTCATCTTACTGTTAGAAGATTCCCAGGCACTGTCCGCTCGTCCTTTTAGTAAAGATAAGATAAGAGCGAAGAAGTTAGGGCGATAATTAGTGACAGCTTGATAAATAAAATGCACGGCCAGTGGTTGTTACAGCAGGTGGTATATATAGTTACCACTGGGTTTTAAGGAGTATATTTCACTGAAGGAACGCCGAATACTATGGGAAGATGTTTATGATCGGAAAGGGTTTCAAAAGAGATGCCGGTGGCCTATTTTAATCAATTAAGTGGGCGCATTCCTTCATACACTGAGGATAGCGGCAGTCATGATCAAAGTTTCGAACCCGATGGCTCTCGAATACGGAACAAGACTCCAGCCCTCTGAACAGCGGAATTTGGCATCCGTTTGTGAATTCGGTGGTTTACGATTCCAGTCACTAGGGAGACGAAAATTTTCTTCATAGTTTCGCAATCTTAAACTCTTGTGTGTTCGCTATTTTGCCAGTGCAAGTCTATAAATATATTTTGCATATTGATCTCTTCTCCCCCCACCTCTGGGGTTGTTCTGACCCAACGAAAGGTAAGGAAGTTGAAAGGGCATTCGTCACTTTGCTGGTGGTCAGGATGGTTTCCATTACGACGGCCGTATTCGTCGCTGTGCTGCTAGGAGCCGCTGAAGGTAGGTGGTGAGAAGTGAAACACACAAAATGGTAGTTACTACAATTCATTGTAATTAACACGTAGACAGTCGGTGGTTATACCAATACCGTATTGGACACTGTCCACTGTCTGAGGTATATTTATGTATGACGTTTCGCAAGTTGGTTTTACGACCGTCTTCAGGTGTCTGACTAACGTCACATCAAACGACAATATTATAATCACGTATTCACCTTGTAATTAAACCCGAAAATTAATAATACCTGCCATTAGACAAGGTCGTCAGCCAGTTAAGTTAAAATCTCATCCTCACAAACGTATTTCCATTTTATCTGTCTTTACAAGAAATGTTAGTTTCTTGATGATTATTTGCTACTGTTAAGGGATTTTGACCTTATTACAATTTTTTTTGTTACAATTGTCGCCATGGTAATGTTGTTAAGGGACTTTGGCCTTGCGGGATAATATTTGACTGTGTGTTTTTAATACCTTATATTTCCCCGTCTCTGTTGACGGGTAATCTACTAGTTTAGACTATATTAAAACACAATGTCGTTCCTCCGGAGTGTCTTTCTATTATTTTTATGCGGTAAACTTAATTTTCTCCGTAAGTTAATTTGATTATCAATAAAAAATTCCATTTCTCGTACACGTAAACTAATTTAAACACACTGAAGCTCTAAATTCATCTAGAAACAATATTTAAAGAATCCAGTCCGTACCGCGAAGAAAACACTTCACTTCACCATTACTAAGATCAACTTCTTAACGCTGTTTAAGGAAATAATCGCTGTTTGTTCTGTACACTCTGTGTGCAAAATGCAGAATTAGTGAATGTTAAAAGAGGTGGTATGTATAGTAACCATTGTGGTACGGGACGGCTGATTGGTTTGACTTTACTCGCAGGTTGCAATCGCCTGGGGGCTATTCTAGCGCACGCAGAGCAGAATGAGACGTCACACAGTAAGTACTACATTATTCAACGACGCTGTTTCGACTGCCGAGGTTACACAGCATTAAGTAAAGTATTTCCAAGCACGTATTCGAAGGTTCATTAAAATTTAAATGATAACCCGCCATAAATCCCCATCCTGAACCAGATTAATCCAATCTACACCCTCCAACCTCATTTCCCTAGATACATTTTAATATTATCCTATATACGCCTAGTCTTCCAGCGGTCTCTTACCTTTAGGTTTCCCAACCAAAATTATGTAAGCATTTCTCATCTCCGCACGCTACATGCCCCGCCAATCTCATTCTCCTTGATTTGATCATCCTGACAATAACTGGTGAAAAATACAAATTATGAAGCCTATTCATTAACCAGCGTCCTTCCTCCAACGTAATAGACCAGGTTTCACACCCGTACAAAGCCACAATTGAAGGAATTAACGCAGCCGACAGCTAGAAATCGCATTGTTTAATTTGAACCAGGTTCAACTTTCTTATTCCAGATGGCGCAGGTCACGATGCCTTCACGCCCGTGGCATCGCCGCTGATGTGTTTGACAATTCATTTTCTACTGGGGTCATCAGCGGCTTCTCTTATCTGACGTTCAGGAAGACGTCAGATGACGAGTCCGTCGCCTTTATGTTAGTGTTAAGGAACCTTTGTTTCACTTCGCCTGTACTCAGTCAATAAATGAAACGAAAATAAATAATCAGCTTGTTTCGTTTAAAACGTACAGAATAAATACCGATAAGCACAGGACAATAGAGGAAGTTACGTAATAAGAGGTTTAATTTTTTTTAGAACAAACTATTTTTAAAACCTAATGATAAGAGACCACTTTGGTGTCCAGATATTGACATTAAAATGTAACCTAGAGATGCACTAAATTGGCTCAATGACAGCAAAATTACACGAAATTCCTTAACGAATCCCACGGCGGTCTAGCGGTTAGAACGCTGACCTTGTAATCCTGGGGTCCCGGGTTCGATTCCCGGCTCAAATGACAGTAAAATGACACGAAATTCCTTAACGAATCCCACAACAATGAAGTATTTATAAAACATTCTGTATCACAAAGTCCATTTGTTATTTAATTAAAAAATGGGCACCATTGTTAGATCTTCGTGTTTTACTTTTCACAAAGTCTATTTGTTATTTAATTAAAAAATGGGCATCATTGTTAGATCTTCGTGTTTTACTTTTAAAAGTTCAGTTCTGCGTACGTGTAATGAAATCACAGATAAATCAGCTACTGCTCTATGGAATTCAAAATCAACAATCAAATTTATAACTGTATGCATTGTTGTTATCGAACTATTGTTTGGAACACGGAGTTAGAGGCGAACGCAGATAGCAAATAACAAAAGACGTACACAGAGAAGTATAATTTCAGGGCCTTTCTAACCTCAAATTCCATTCACTGTAATAACAAATATCATGTTCCACACCTGTGAAAGGAAGACTACACTGTAATTACCGTCGCCTAGCGACCCGAAACACACAAATATTAAAACTCAAATTCCACCATTATTTCTGACTGATCTGCTCGTCACGGGAAATCTTTACAACCGGAAATTACCCAGCAGTTGTTAAACGAGATTAAAGGAACTGATGTTTTAAAAAATTAGAAGTTGCATGTGACCTATGAACTTTTTAACTGAACTGAAAGAGATAGTCGTTATGTAATATTTGTACCTGCCGAACGTTGTGGGCCGAGTAACTTAAGCCCTTGGTTCGTATCCTGGAGGTCCCGGATTGAAATTTCGGCGCGAAAACCGACTATCTACTCTAATAATTCTTCTCGTTTTACTAAGTCTCTACAGACAAATAGCGATACTTGCCTCATATCCAGCCACGACCACTTGCTTCCATATTCTTACGAATTCATCATCCATTAATCCATCCCATATTTCGAAGCAGAACAAATGACGGCGTTGAACAAGCACCGATTTCATTTTAAAATTCGTAACAGATTTATTCAATTGACTCCCATAGTAACTCGTGCTTTTTTATTAATTTTAATACGGCGATACGTCTCATGAACTTTTAATTAACGACAGACGTTAAGTATAAGACCTGATATGTGATGTGTGGTCATATTAACATGAACTGATAAGCACGTGAAACATCTTTAAGAAATAAATTAATTTAAAAAATAAATAAAATAGATAAAAACTACGGAGCTTGGGCCTACTTAATCCCTGCGCATTGCGTGTTACACTTTCCCGCAGTACAGCAGCGAAGTACATCAATTACAAGCTCCCCAGAAAGCGGAAGGCGTACGACCTGACAACCACCCTCACTTCCTGGTAATTCCAGATTCGTGTTTCATCGATTTCTTCATTCGAAAGTCCGTAAAATCTTACCACAACAGGATAAGGACTATGGCCAATTGGAAACATATGCATAAGACCCCAGTGTACACGGAAGAATAATATTAAAATGAATCTTTAGGAGATGCAGTGGAAGGGTGAGGACTCGATGAAACTGGGCCAGGATAGTGGAAGTTTGAGGGCTCCTGTGGAAACAGTAGTGAACCATCAGGTTCTATAAACAAAATTCACGAAATTTCTTGACTACCTAAACAACTGTTAGAAAAGGCAGATTCTGTTCTACAAAGGTCATTATGAGACAGGTCTCCATATTTATCTACGACAATATCGGACTGTGGGTTTCTCGAATAGAGAGGTCTTTGAATTTTTCAACGTCATAACAAAATCATTTTTTCAAACGCATATATCTGCCGATCTGTGGGACAGTAAATGACGATATTCATGTCAATTTGAGGTCATGGCTAGGGGAACATCACCTCAAGATCAAGACAAGATCAGTCCAATGTCTTGAGGAATATAAGCCTTTAGATTTTCCAAGCTCAATTCAAGAACCCTTATTCTAGAAGACGAGACGTTGGTAGACATAGTAACAGAAATATGCGCGTTAATGTCATTTTAAGTCCTCAAGTTCTGCCGCCAATTGATTAATACATATTTAAATCGTATACCGCGGGCTACAAAATTTCATCAAAATCTGTAAGAATTCAAAACAGAATACGAAAGTTCATTTGCCCACGTAAGTAAAAACCCCTTGAGTGAATTTAACAAATAAAAATTCGCAATTATAAATATATATACATGCGCATCTAAATAATGATAAAACATTCAGTTCCTACAGAAATAAAAACACCATTTATTGTTAGAATTATGTAAAAGTCATAAACAAAAATTCAGTGGACAAAATTCAGTTACCGAACGTTAAAAGCATATGGTGGGACTTTAAATATTAATAAATCAAACTGAAACAAAACTGAAACGTCTTGACAAAAATTTAATGTAGATCTATCAAAAACCAAATTTGAACGAAATCGTATGATATTGTTAGCGGAGTGACAGGATTATTGAGTTGTCTTAGAAATGAACCTAACCTCCTATATGATGGTGCAAAGACATTAATTTGTGGCAACAAAACTTTGATTCGCCATCAGCTGTAATACGAAAATATGATATGAAGCTTAGAGATGTTGATCAACAGATCGTGCTGTACCCAGCCTTGCAGAAACATCTCTTGTTATGACCCCAATAACCGTTCTGTAAGAACGAGCCTGGGTCAGGTGGAACGACAATTATTGTTCCGATTGAAATAAATGGCATCGCAAAGCCTTGAGAATTCTGAAATATCCTTGTTTCCACCGCAACAACATTTCCCCAAGCATAAATCCGGGCCACCGCCCCTTCCATCTCATCGCCAGGGTCCTTGACTGTCTCCGTTCTATAAAGGACAATTTTAATGAATATCTCCAACTTTTATTCGGGATTTTCTTTTCCATAGAATATTTGCTACTCTTGTATATTTATACACAGAGTGAATATTCAATACCTTCTAATTTTATACTATGCAGTCCCGCACAACCCGTTATACACTCTCACTTAAAAACATCAGTCTTTATTGTCTACTTCAGTGGGTATCTTTCCTCCATTCTCTGCGTTGTTCTGTGGCTTATTTTGTGAATTCATTTCTGAACATGACTGTACTCAGTCATGATTTACAATGAAACTATCAAATGACTCTTCGTTGGTTAACCCACGCCACACGCTACGAGCGTGTTATATTTTCGAGTCACTTAAAATAAATAAATTAAATAAATTCAAAACATAAAACATTGAACATTCACTCTGTAAAAGTAACATATGATACAAATTAATGAAAACTTTTGTGCAGTACAAAATGAACTATTAAACAGATTTTGCAAAGAAACACGGTAGAATAGTTAATGTTTAATACTGCACGCTGTTAATCACATTTGTCAATTTTCCATTCGCAGAATAAGACGTTTAGAAGTTAAGGCTTTCATCAAGACAAGTTATAAGAAAGTTGTCATTATATTTATTTAAAACGTTTTGCCATTTTAACTACCACATGTATATCTACCTTTGACATTTATACTTCCTTTAAAGGTAGGTTGATTAAAACGAGACCGCTTTTCTGTTTCCTGTAGAAACCTCTTCGATGCCGATGATTCCATCCGTTCTCGACTAGAATGAAGCCTAGGGGATTAGTCAAAGTAAAACTCATAAGCACCTCTTACTTTCCGAGGAAGTACTACCAGAACGTAAGCAAAGATGCAAGTTTCACTACTCATCCTCACATGACCAGATTTCCACAGGGAAGTTATCAACTATGCACATAACTTTCACACATCAGGGTGCAGATAACAAACAGCGGAACCAACACCAAGACCACGAACTTAAAAGTACTTAAATAATTTGTTAATTTAAACATTCAATTAAATGTCAGACTTAAAACAGTTCAGAATACAGAGGAAAGGATTCGAGCCATCTCCGGTCGATTTACGACATGGGACCCCCTCACCCCTACCACGTAACCCGGGACCAAACACCACTCCTGGAAGGTCCCAGGTTAAATCTCTGCCCGGAGACCGCCTATTCTGAAGAGGTCTTCTGTGATTTTTCCTCAATCCCTTCAGTCAAATTCTGAGATGGTACTTTAATTAGGCCACGACCGTTTACTTCCAATTACTTTCCGATTCATTATTCATCCACTACTTCGACGCTGTGGTCTCAGGTATTCCTAGTTCTGGGAGCAATTATGAAGGGGAAATATCGAGACGCCTCTACCGGGGATTGTACCCCGGCTGGGTTATCATGTCTGATTATAATTGGCTTCACAATTTATATTTACTGAGAGACCTGACAGGAATTTCCGATGAATGTGTTAAAACAAAAGACACTCATAGTTGGAATGAACTGAAGTCAGGCTTGTGAAATGTGAGCTGAGTCACTTTAGAAGTCTAGAACTTAGTCACAAAGTTGAAACTACTGGTCTGAAACACTCTGGTTATTGAAGCATTATATTAATTCACACAAACTTGGCTTCATTCTCAATGCTGCTCAGGCACGGATATATGTTACATGGGATCTACGCCAAGAAAGTCCCAAATGTTTCCCTTTCATTCACACTCGTTCAAGCAACGCAGACATTTCCATGATACGTAAGCCTCGAACACTAAACTTACGATAAACGTACAATTTCTCCAAGTTCTGCGTTTCTTTTACTTATGCACTGCACTGTACAGTCTTCCGAGAACAACAGATATCCTCTTTTTCTACGAGATCCATCATCACAGGTCTCAAAATTGGAGCCTACCCTGATCCAATCCATTTCACATCTTCATTTTTGAAACACCCTATAACGAACGTTACTGCATTTTGTCTTGGTTCTTCACCGAGTAAATTAATTTGGCTCAAAACTAGTGGCGCGCTCTTGTGAACACGGCAATGAACATCCGGGTTCCATAAGAGACGGGGAATATCTTGACTATCTGAGCAATTTTTTTAAAAATGAAAGTGGTTTCATGTTCTGGGATACCGCGACGTCTTACAGAAACTGACGAAACGTCCTGATGATGGAGGCATTAAGCACCTATGAAACGTCGGCCAATTTCTACCAGACTACACGGCACAAAATCCCAGAAGACAGCCATGTTTACATTCGCCTCCGTGAGAAACCTAACCTCACAAAAGTAACTTTGTTTATTAATTTAAAAAAAACTGCCCCCCACTCCGAGTGATGTACGAGCTGACAGGGTCGTGTACCACAGGTTGCACACTGCGGTAAGTGCCAGGAAGGTGGAAGACGTATAAAACGATGAGAAAGTGAGGCACTCGGCTTCAGTCAGATTCCTGTCCGCCTGCGTGCATAGTGGAGTCTGTGTGGTTCGCGAGATGCTCACAAGAAGGACGGTGGCGCTGGCGTCACTACTGGTCATTGCCCACCTCATGCACAACGGTAAGGAAGGGACAGGGCTCGGGAAGGTGTCGGTCACTCTGTGCATGGGATTGTGGATTCCTTCATTACCTTTCTGTGTTGAAGAGGACATTGGGTTTTGTGACAAGTGTCGAAAAATAATGGATTTGATAAGGATAGAATTTTTGCCGGAAACCAGATGTCTCGATTGTTTGCGCGGTAATAGTTAAGCCCACATTAAAACAATCCAAGATTATTAACAGTTTAAATCATAGCGGTAATAATAAGTACCACCTACGCAACACTCGTGAAACAGCTATCTTTGAAATGGTGAAGTGTTTTCTTTGCGAATTATTAAATATGACTTATATTACCTTTGTGCTTCAAAGGGTTAACCAGTTAATATCTGTAATGCTAGAGAGTTGTGTTTTCTTTGCGGTACGGACTGAATTAATAAATATTTAAACGAGCTTTAAATTCCAGTACGTCGTTCAAGACTAGTCAGGACATTTGACAGTTTCTTATCTCGAAATAAATCAGTATAATTCAATGAGATATCGAGCTTTAAAATTATCACGGAAGATTTTGTATCTGTAACATACTTGTACTTCGGATAAAATGTTTCTGTGACGACACTTCAGATGCACTCAGCCAACGAGAAAAGGCATTCCAACAAGTTTCCTAAAACAAAACTTACTTTCTCCCCACACCGGGCTGTCTCTCCATCCGAAGCTCCTACATGATGCATCCATCCGCCGATGAACGTAATTTTTCATTTATTTCGAGGAAAAACATGAATTCTCAGTGACGATGCTCGTCTTCTGGGTGGTAACGCCGTGTGAATTAGCAGGCATGTAACAATATTAAAAAAAAAAACATACTACCTCCATCTTCAGCCATTAAGATGGATCGAGTATCTTCCTCAGAAACTGTGGTACGTACCTACAAGTCCACCCAGAAGAGTAACATTGGTATTCTCAAAGTCCCGTAAAACTCAAATCTGATACCTGTTATTTTCGTTAAAGTTTAAAAGGACCGGGAAGGAAAATGTAAAATAATAACGCATTTTTTAAATTGCTTAATCGTTACTGGAGGAGGACGCAGGTTTTAATTCTCGTGTTTACAAACATTGCAGTATAATTTAAAATATTTTAAAGAAGTCTGGTAAAATCTCGTTTACTCAGAAGTACAGTTAAGAAAAGTACATATGCACCGGAACAGTAAATTAAGACAAACTTTCTCACGTCGTTATGGTCTGTCGCTTTTAAAAAGTTGGCATAAACGTTATACATAACATATCATAAAAAGTAGGTCTAGTTCGAGCAATTATTCTGTTTCTCTTACGCCTGTATACGGGTTAGAACAAAATCTGTTTTCACTTTGCGCAGACATCATCTGCCACTTTCTTCGACCTGCTACATATGGACACCAAAAGCAGTCGAAACAAAAGAAGAACACAAGACGAAGTGTCTTTGTTTCTGAAATCCGTGTGTACGTTTCGCAAACTTAAAGTCTGTTACCATGACGACGGAAACATAAACGGAACAGACGGAGAATCTGTTACAGCTTACAGCTTAAGAGGAATTAGAGAGATTTAAGGTTTTCACGGTGGTGAGTCCGAGAATGTCTGTCTCATCACTCTGACGATGGAAGCAACAAGGACCTCCGAAATTTTAACCAGACTACACGGCCATCTTCAATCAGAATACAGTTTCACCTCACACGTCTACTGATTATTCCTGTTTATCGCGTATATTTAATTTTGTTCCACAAAACAAGTGGGGATATTCCAGAAGGGCGTAATGTTTATTCTGCTCAGAGATACAGAAATTTACATCTGGGCGTATGGACACTTGATGGCGTAACTAAGATGTGGCCAAGTCTTACTGTCTCGTGATCTACAACTTCCTCGAATTACAGTAATGTACAGGAAATGCGATACCACCTTCCACGTCTATTTAGACACAAATTTCCCCGACGCTTTCTAAATTTTTATCACAAATAGCCTTGTAATCCTGGGGTCTCGGGTTCGATTCCCGGCGGTGCCCGAATTTATAACTTGTGTTGGGCAAGGACGTGGTCTAGGCAACACGGAGTTTTCCTCCGTGGCATCCCAACAATTACTCCATTCACACACAGAAGAAGGCAATGGCAAACCACTTCTGGATCATCTGCCAAGAACGTATATGAACAGGTCCCAGTCCGAGAAAAGGATGGAAGGATCCTGTTCATATGGACCTGTCGTCAGACAGAACACTAAATAATAAAGTAGGAAATAATATGGCTCACGAAAACTATAGACGATCGTTGTAATGGTGGTGTGATGTTTTCTTTGAGGTGCGGGCTGAGAGTTGATATACGATACCTGTTATTTGTATTTGCGGACACAGAAATTCTCGTTTCTGCTACGTAATCCAATAATCCGTGTACTTATTACATTCACTCACTGTTGATTACTCAAAATTGCAAAGGAATGCCATCGGGCAGTAGTGAAATTATTGAGAATTGTCGTCTGATAGTTTGAAAGTGAAAGGAACTTAAGAATCAGGTTCCAGACTTTCTTCTCCTGTCCAGCATCTCTCTCTCTCTCTCTCTCTCTGGACTAGCATTGAGGATGCTGTTTTTCAAGGTCATCTCTTTTAGTGTTTGAACATCCAGATCTGTCTTATTTTGTCCATCCTACGAGACGTATTCCAAAGCAAGTGTGCCTTCCATCAACGCACCGCTGAAATGTGTTCTGCTTACGTAAACCGGGCAATTTTTAAAAGAATCAACTGACGACTCCAAATTGTTTTAATATTACCTGAGAGACGACCAGCAAGATTACCACTTGCTAGTGGTACATAGAACATTGTGCAAACTGGAAAGCTGAGAAGTCGTCATGGAGACGTGAAACGTGTGACAAACGAATGGAGTGTAGTCATTTCACGGTAGAGGTAACCCGCCCGATTAATAGCAAATCGCGTTTTAAGATGTTAGTCGTCACACAATCCTACACTAAGGCAGTTCCAAAGGTTCAACACCCTGTCCGCCATTACACTACAACACGAAATACCCCAAACAAACTAAAATCCAAATATCCTACCGACATTACAAACCATCTTGCAGACGAGATTCAAATAAAGGAGTTTATTTATAGGACAAGTGAAAAGTAGAAAGTAGGTTCAACTTTGCGTCCAAAAATAGGACGTAGCGGAATGATACATATCAAAAGGTCAGAGCCAGTAATGTACACGGACATTTGTGTTAAACGCGTTAAACAAGGTCTGAGAGCCGAAGCAGACGATACAAGGTTACACATTCCTACATAAAGGAGCACGTGACACCCGGTTATCTCACAAAGACTCAGTAAACGTGATCTCACTGAACAAACCTTCCTCAGAGTTATTCATACTGCTTCATATGGTACATAAAATAATCTGAACGGAAAACACCACTTGGGATACATAAATAAAGATGGAAAGATAATATTAAAAGGATTTGAGGATGTGCACTGGACTCGTCTGCCTTATTATAACGTCCAGTTTCAGGCTTTTGTGAGAAAGGTAATAAATTTTAGGGTTCAATAAAACACGAAGAATTTCTGTACCAACTTAGCTTAAAAAAAAAAGACTTCGCTAAACGGAGTTGACTAGCTTTTCTTCGGGGTACGTATTGACGTTACTCATGTACTAGATAAGTTGATGATTATGTAACGTGGACTTTGTATATTATTCATTCTCCTAGGGACATCCGCTCGCTTATCTGAAACCGTATCTTAATTCTGAGAGGCTCGTCTGTGAGAACACGCCCCCATAAAATCAAACTCATATTAACGCAAACTTACGAACTGCATCCAAAAATAATTTAAGAACATTTAAAAGTCTTTCAGACAACAGAACTGTCGGCCAAAAACTGCTCTCGATTTACAATTAACAGTTCTTCAGTGTTTGTTCTGGTATTTGTCATTACAATGCCATGACGTTGCCTAGGAACATGGCGCCGTAGCGAAACTCCACTCCACACACGGATGAACGCTGCCTGTGTGCCAGGGCACCGCTATAAATCAAGCTAATATAAAATAACGCCATCATATTTAGTGTTAACTGCTATGAAGTGGCATTACTCTTATCTCAAGCCGCTTTCTCCTGGTTGAAATAAACAAATTAAATTCAGCGACGCATACGAATAGGATAGCTTTCTCTTATTGTTATAATAGGTTTCTGTGGCTCCAAGTTTACGTTTCTTACGATCCGATTGCCAGATAAGTTAAAAAGTATCTGAGGTATATTTCATAACAGAATAAAAAACAACAATTAAGCTTCGCCCTATCCACTCTAAAAAACAAACTGGACGTGAGACAACGACTGACAAGAAAACATCTGAACACAGCGATGCGTCACACGTTCTTATCAGAACGTCTTATTTAGCAGTTGTTTTGATGGTCGGTTTTGAACATTTACATTATTTATCGGGCGCTAACCCCACAGATAATAAAAATCTTTAAATAATCCTGATAAAATAAGCAGTTAAGTTTAATTTAGATTCTGTTTTACGTAACTTTCTACATCACTAACGTAACAGTCGCAGTTTGGAACCACAGAAAACCTTTTGGAACAGGAAAGAAAGAAGCTAACTGTTGCAAACACAACTTTCTCGGTGCCTGATCCAAAATGTCTAAAAGAGAGAAATTCTGGTGCAAAAGTACCATCGTAATCCACAAAGGAAAAAAAACAAACTTGAACTGGCTTATTTTTATGGGTATGGACTGCTTTTTATTGTAATTTTTCCTCTAACAGAAGCATTACTTATTTTATATAAGTTCTTTTATTAATTACATAGTTTCGAATGGTAATACCTCCAGCAAACGAATGAGTCTAAACAAACTTACACTTCTGAGTAGAATCATCGTCGCCCAGATAGTCAAGAAATATTTGTATCATGTTCACAAGTCCACAATCTCATATCCTATTTCTCAGAGATCAATTTTAATATTATCCTTCCATCTACGTCCCGAGTGGTCTCTTCCATTGAGCATTTAGATTAAAATTCTGTAGACCTAC